ACTCTGTTGCGAGCTACACATCTGGTCTTAAGGAAATCTCTCCCAAGTGCCCCATATAGTCACAGTCAAAACACCCTTACGAGGCATAGACTGATGAAAGGACCCTGAATGACCAAAATACCCTTTACAACCTAGATAAACCTTGTGAAGTATGCACTGGACTCAAATAACTATGCTAGCATAATCAGCCTCAAATGTTGGTATATAATAGCATGAATTGGTCTGCTAGACTGAGAATGATAACCTCTCCCCGAGTAACCCCGACCTTTAGGCGGAGCACTACCATAGTACCTAAATGACGGGCCCTTTTTCCTCACACTGCTCAAATAGCTCATGTCAAATCATTTCTAACTTCTCAGCAGTATCTACCACCTTATGGAACGGAATACCAAACGAAATAACCTGAGAAACTCCCCAACGAATCGGAATATCAGCCCATTAACAAACCTTCTCACCCTCTTAGCTTCGGTGGAAAGTATCATCTAGGCATATCTAGCCAATGCATGAAATTTATCCTTATATATTGCGATTGACATATTATGTTGTTGTAAACCCTCGAACTCGACCCTCTTACGCTCCCTCTTACTGCGTGGAACAAACTTTTTCTAGAAATATCCGAGTAAACTAAGTCCATTATAGTGAAAGGGATCATCCATATAGCCTACTACAAATAAAAAAAATAAACGTTTAGAAAATTTTATATCATTAAGAAAAAGAATTGAAACTAATAGAAATAAAATAATTAAAACGAAAAAACAAATATATAAATTAAAAAATAATATAACTTGTAATTAGGAATTTAGTGTCTCTCCCAAAGAATTAAAAAGTGTAATCATCTTTATTAATCGAATACAATTATTTGTTAACCAAGTAATTACATGTCCAACCAAATAAGTCAAATAATGTACCTACACACAGTTACATAAAAATTTCAGGCCAAACAAGGCCTGAAAATATATTTCAGAACTAAAAATAGCTGTATTGATAATTCGGGTCGTGAAACTACCGAGTTCGGACCGCCGACGCCATTAACAATCCCTGCGTTCCCCTGCTTGCCGGAGAACTACCAGGACGGAGTGAAAATCAGTAATTCTCTTTCAATTTTGTTTATCCAGTGCACCATAGGTATAATTTCTCTACCGGGAAACTCATTATCAATTTCTTTGTTCAACAATAATCACTCTCCACATATTATCCCCAATTAATCGCTCGGATTCTTTTTTAATATCCAGTTGCTTCTTAATTCCCCTTTTTGGGTTCTTTCTTTCGTGTAAGTTGATAAAAATTGTGTCTTTCACTGTACTATGTACTTGAAAGATGGATGTTCCTTGTTGTTGAAAGTCCAAAAAAGGTCTCTTCCTTTAATCCTCAACAATGTAAACGCAAGTTTCAATGTTGATCAATTTAATGGTGGTAAAACTCCCGTTGAGCTCAAAGAATTTGATGTATTAAAGAGATTGAAATATGATGAAAATATTTCAAATGCTTTAGAGTATTTCAAATGGGTTGCTAATTCAACATTTTTCAAGCACACCCCTTTAACATATAAAATAATGATGGAAAAACTTGGGCAACACCAGGAGATGGATAGTGTTCAATACCTCTTGCAACAGATGAAATTAGAAGGTATTAGTTGTTCCGAAGATATATTTATCAGTGTGATTGATTCGTATAGGAGAGGTAACACAGCAGAGCAAGCATTGAAGACATTCTACAGGATACAGGATTTTGGGTGTAAGCCTACAGTTAGGATATATAATCATCTGTTAGATGCTTTGCTTAGTGAGGATAGGTTTCACATGATTAATCCTATTTATAATAACATGAAGAAAGATGGGGTTGTTCCCAATGTGTATACTCATAACATTCTTTTGAAAGCATTGTGCAAGAATAATAGGGTAGATGGAGCTCTGAAGTTACTCATGGAAATGTCGAACAAGGTGTGTTCTCCTGATGAAGTGAGCTATACAACAATTGTGTCTTCCTTGTGTAAGTTTGGTAAAGTAAGAGAAGCCAGAGAAGTGGCCATGAGATTCACTCCCACTGTTCCTGCTTATAATGCTCTGATAAATGGGCTTTGTAAGGAATATAATACTAAGGAGGCAGTTGATTTGTTGAATGAGATGGCTTACAAGGGAGTTGATCCTAATGTCATCACGTACACTACCCTTTTAAATGCATTTGCTGACCAAGGAAATATTGGTCTTTCTTTTGCTATGCTGAGCAAGATGTTTGTTAGTGGCTGTTCTCCAAATATTCATTCGTTTACTTGTTTGATTAAGGGAAATTCATTATTGGGACAATGGTATGAAGCTCTTCATGTGTGGGATGGTATGATCAAAGAGGGAATTTTGCCCAATGTTGTAGCATATAATGCACTTCTTCATGGTCTGTGTTTGGCTGGTAATATGAATATGGCTCTGTCTGTTTATAGTGCAATGGAAACAAGTGACTGCCTTCCAAATTCGACAACCTACAGCACCCTCATTGATGGATTTGCCAAATCCGGAGATGTGATTAAAGCATCTGAGATATGGAATAGGATGATAAATCATGGTTGCCATCCAAATGTTGTTGTATATACATGTATGGTTGATGTACTCTGCAGGAATTTCATGTTTGAACAAGCTTACAGTCTTCTAGATCACATGGTAATAGAAAATTGCCCACCAAATACCATTACTTTTAACACATTTATCAAAGGTTTGTGTTGTAGTGGTAGAATTGAATGGGCAGTGATGCTATATAATCAAATGGAAAGATTTGGTTGCTCAGGTAATACTACCTCATATAATGAGTTGTTGGATGGGTTGTTCAAATGTAACAACCTGACGGTAGCACTTCAGCTTGTTAGGGAAATGGAGGAAAAAAATATTGAATTTAATTTAGTCACGTACAACACTATAGCATCTGGTCTCTGCCATATGGGGATGCTTGAGGAAGCCGTAAAACTTGTGGCAAAAATGCTGGTTAAGGGAATAAGACCTGATGTTCTCACGTTCAACATACTTATGAATGCGTACTGTAAGGGTGGTAAGGTTGAATCTGCAAAACAACTTCTGAATGCTATGAGTCAAGTCGGCTTGCGTCCAGGTTTCATATCCTATACCTGTCTGATAGATGGACTGTGCAGTTGGGTTGGTCTGGAAGCTGCAATCTGTTGCCTCCAGAAGATGATAAATGATGGCATTCCACCCAAGATATCGACATGGAATGTTCTGGTCCGTCATTTGTTTAGCAAGATTGGCTATGGAAGTGCACTAGAATATCTAGATAGTATATTGGCAGCAGACTGAAGGTGTGAACTTGCTTCATCATACTGGAATGATGAATATGCGTAAAAACCTTCACTATGGATATAAACGGCAGTAGTTGCAGTGAAAGAAATTTTACGATGGAGGGGTCCTTCGCCAGACCTGAATTGGCATTAACAACTTGTTTAGGCATATATGGCTAGTAAGAATCCCTCAAAAAGAGTTGTTTAACATCCTCTAATAATAATATTTTTGTATGTTTATTTACTATTGGTGTTCTCACCTTGTTGACCCCCAGAGTATCAGTTAATTTGACTTTTTCTATTAAATAGATTTTGCAGGTGAATCCTAATTTAATTTGCTGTTGATTAGAGGATTTTGGAGAACCATGAAAAGATATTGTAGGTATTAAATTGCTAATTTTTGCTAGGATATCATAAGCTTAAGCTTGTGAGTACAACCAAAATGCAGAATAGGTATTTTAAATAGTGTCTATTCTGAAAAATTAGACAGCTCTAGTAGCAGCAATAATATTTATAAGGTCATGATGCTCTGCAGGTACCTTTTAGTAATAGATCCCTCTGACTCCTAAGTCCTAACCCCTTTGCTAAAAAGGCTGTGTTTCTAGTGTCAGTTATTTTCTTGTTCTTCTTACTTGCTTATTGCTATCAGTCTTTTGTTGAATTGAACTAAAACCTTTCTAGTAATAGATTGCCACTGTTTTTATTCTGAAGATTGTTAGATGGAGCCTGACTGCATTTCTTTTACTGCATTTTATTATTTTGGCACTGATTGTAAAATTGTTTATTTCCTGTCTCTATAGTTTGGAAGAAGTTTCATGAGAAACCCTTGTCAAGGCTATCTTTTTGAGGTGTCCAAGGATTGACACAGGTCAGAACCGGGAACCAGACACATGAAATGGCAGCCATATTTTTGTAGAACACTGATCTTTTTGGCATGATTATTTGCAAGAGGCATTATGCATAGAGTGAGAAAGGGAGGTGGGTTTTGCTAGAAGAACAAAACAAGTCAGCGATAGAAAAATTCATCATAGGTGTTGGCTTATTCGGAAACACTATTTTTTTTTTAATCTTTTGGCCCTTTTTCCTGTTCTATCATGGGATATGTAACCTGAAATTCTGTTCTTGATTGCCTAAAGAGAACAGATGTAGTAATTCTTTTTTTCCTTTATTTCTGTTACAAGCTTTTTACCTGGTTTGTGTTTCACCTTTACGCATGGATTGTTTTCTTTTTCTGGCGTTGTTCTGTTAGTGGCCAGCTATTTTCAACTTTGCTGAAGTCTCCTTCTTCATCAAGAGTGAGTGAGAGATCCGTCTAAGAACAATAGAAGAGGGATATACCATCGAATTCGGATCTTAGAGAAGTCTCGATCTTCGTCCACACCTAGGACATAGATTCTATGTGCCCTAATGGATTGTGACAAGTCCTTGCTACTAGCACTGGCTTTCTCTTTGATTACTTTACTTCGCTCAGCTTCCTACTTTTGGTTAGAGCCGCCTCGGACTCCCCCGACAGCCCTAAGAGGAAGGAGTTGTCCATGGGATGGACAATGAAGTGTATCGATCCTCCCCGGCCTCTTCTCTTTTTAGTGGGTGAGGAGCTCTATAGTCCAGGTGCAGTTTTTATTTCTATCTATACATTTTCAGATATCATTGCTTCGATACGGTCTTTTACGTTGTTAGTACATACAGGACCTGTACAAAGAAATATTTGGGCTACACGATCCAGCTTTTATCTCGTGGTTGATAGATGATCTAATAGTGAACTTAAAAGTAATCAAAATTCTAAGATAGTGAACAAAATAAATTCAATTAGTTTTCACACACTCACTTTCCTTTTCCCCGTCTTGTGTGTATCAATTTGTCGACGGTTTCTACTGTTCCTATCATCTACATCGTCGTCAACATCCACAAGAATAACACCATCTGTATAATCATCATCATTAAATTCCATATCTATATCATCCTCACCCTCGAAATTGTCATCATCATAATCATCCATATCCTCTTCATTTTCATCATCTGTACCAGCACCCGTGGTATGGAACTCGGGAGGTGGAGGACAATCCTCTGTTTCTGCCTTGTCCCGCTTCATCACAAGATGTCGAATGACTCTCTCATCTTTGTCAAGCATGCTCTTGAAATCATTAATCCATTTGGCTTCCAACTCAAAATTCATCAAAATGTAATGAGCTCGTGATGCTTTCTGAATCTTATATGCCAGTCTACGCATACCCCAATCACTGAATCTCCACAACCTCCCTTTCTTCTCTTTCAAAAATTCTGCATTTACAAATAAAAATTCACAAATTTCACGGTTATTTAGCCACCATATAGAAATAGAAATGTAAATCACCGTGAGAAAGTGCTGGTGATTGGTAAACCAAAAGCGCCTCCATTGGGAGGATTAATGGGGAGTAAGGGAGCAGAACTGTGGTTGCTACATCCTATCTTGCTCGGACTCTTCAAATATCTAGACAGGTGCGTGTTGGATACTCCGGAAGTAGTGCATTTTGAAGAACCCAACACGGGTGGGGCAAAATTTTTGGAGAGTCCAAGCAACATAGGCTACATCGTCCAGCAGATTGGAACCACTTCTGAGATACTAGATTCTGACATCATTTCACCATTCTCAGCTCTTCCGAAAAGGGCATGAGGTGTCATACAACAATAAACCCAGTGTAATCCCACAAGTGGGGAGCTTAAAAAAAAGACTTGGTAAACTCATTTGACAGCACACAGCAAAAAAACCGGATGTTTGATATATGAAAAGGGAAAGCTAACCTTGAACATTAGCATTCACACTCTCAACCTCATCTTCACGATCCTCATGAATCAGATACACCACTTCATAGTGTCGCACTGTACACAGAAGGAAGCCAATAAATAGTATAAACTATTAACCGAAACGAAAACAACAAGATCCATAACAATACTATTCTTCCTGCACTTTCAATTCCATTTAGTGAGTAAATCATCCTGTATAAGCAATATTAGCAAGAACTAATGAGACAAGGCATGCTACTTTAGTCAAAAACAATCTTAGCTCACGAATAGACACAAAATTTTCCTTAGTTCAATAAAACACAATCTAAACCTTTCCTTTGGCTTACTGCTAAGCCACACAGATGTTATTGTACAGATGACATGTTGCACAAAATCCGAAATACTAATTCACAACACATTTTTTATCCACTAGGAAATTTATGAGAATTCCAACATAATTATTTCAATCAACTAATCAACTACTTTTTTTTATGATCGTGCGGTACACGCCAGCTTTCGCACGCCTCGACTAATTCCACGGGATAACTGCCACCTCTCACCACTATATACCAAGTAGACCTCATGACTCTCAACCTCTTCATTGACCATTAGGCCATAACCTTAAGTGCTCAAGTACTTGGGATTAGTAATATAAGTCCTCTATGTTTGGGCACGTTTCATACAGATACTGGTCTTTGAAACTAGAAGGTTCTCCAAATCACACAGTTATCTCTACCAAAACCTAATGTAAGTATAACCATAACATTATTACAACTATTTGTTATCGCCTATATGAACCCTTTGATCCCACCATCCATTTTAGAAAAAGTAATATGCACAAAAAAAAAGACAACATATCCAGCTACCATGTATAAAGTTTAGGGTTTCTCTATTCAAGATATGAAGCTCATAACATGATCCGTACTTACTCTGTTCCACATTCAGATCACTTTCCAACTGCAGATTTAGAGCCTCAAACAGTTCCTCTGCAAATTAGACTCAAAACGTTTAGTGACCTCAGCCTCTAAAGAATCCACGGAAAGTAAGACAGTATTGAGCAAATAATGGCTTACCCTCTTCAGCATCTGCAAACTCAGGTACAAGTCTACCATCTTCTTGGACCTTCCTCTGCAGAATTTAAACAGCAACTTGTCAAAGTAAAAAGTGTTCAAATTAAATCAGAACTCACACAAAAAATCAAAAGAAAATTGGACTTAAGAATGAAGAGCCTCAGAGATTGTTCAGAATTGGGGATAAACAAACAAAAATTACAAAATGGGTGTAAGCAAAAAGTACCTCTCTAAGGAGCACAGCTTCGGGAAAAGGACCAGTGGCTTCATCAGGTTTAGGAATAAAGCTGTGGGAGTCAGATTTCTTCTTCTTCTTGTTTGATGCTGAAACAATAACAGAGGGAATTCGGTTGTTCTTGTGGGGAAAATATAGGAAGAAAGAAGGGTGCCCACTTGCTGAAACTGAAGGATAACATTTACAAGAAGAGGAGGAAGAGGAGCTGAGCAACTTCCCGATATCAGGTGAAGAGGTAAGAAGGAGGGACTCCATTTTTGGTGAAGGAGCAGAGGGGATAGGATTTTGATTTTTGAGCTAAACTCTTACAAGGGTTTTTCCTCTCATTTATATCTATTTCATATTTCTATATTCACTTCCTTTCTTCTTTCTTTTTTTATTAAATCATTTTTTCTTTTAGGAGATTATGAAAATCAGTATGAATTAGGGTGTGTTTGGCGGGTAGGAAAATGTTTTTTATGGAAAATGAATGGATTTTAACTTATTTTCTTATATTTGATTGGTGAGTAGAAAATATTTTTTGCAAATTATTTTTTAGTGTTTGGTTTGTGAAAGAAAAACATTATAAAAAGAATATCTTTTTTTAGAAAGTTAAAAAAATATTTTTGACCCGAAACTAACCTCGATAATTGATCTATTACATGACCCGACAAGCGAACTATGACACACCCCTGACTACATGTCTGAAATTCGACCTTCGAGATATGATCATGACTTCGACCTAAGACACGACAATCAGATTGGGTCGGATATCTAATTCAAAACCTGACCTCAACATTCGACCTTAACACGATCTATCAATTTAATTCGACTTCAACACTCGATTCGAGACCAAAGATTTAACTTTCAAGTCAGAATTTCGACCCCAATTTTTGAATCTGGATCAAATCATACTCGACTCAGGCCCTAATTTTCACGCGTTCGTTGACAAAACCGCCGTAGGAATTCCTACTTTTCAATAGAGCGGAGGCGAACTGATCAACGAGAAAGAGGCCCTACTCACTACAAACGAATACACCACAAGATTGAACTGCACTCAAACTCAGATTAAAATTTTATGGGAAAAAAGATATATATACCCCCGAACTATCGAAAATGGTAAGTATATATCCTTCGTTATATTTTTAGTACATCAGTTCCCTTACTGTTCAAATTTTAGAACGTATATACCCTTTATAATAACGATAGTACACATGTCTTAATCCTATGAACCCGCTATTTATTATTTTTTTTCAAAATTTAAAAGCCCCACCCAACTTAATTTTAGAAGGGCTGACCCATCAGTGTCCTCCTAAACTTGGCACGATATTTCACTTAGATACCTTAACTAAAGAATTTTTATTTTTTGTATGTGTCACTTTAACACTTTTTGCACAACTAGAGTGTCGCGTAATTTTCACTGATTCAAAGCGTGTAACATCAAATTTCGTTTGATGTGGCGTCATCAACGGTAATATTACTCCACATCATCTATTTATATTGATTTTACCCCAATTGTACCCCAATTTCTCTGATCTTTTCCAATTTCTACCTTCTTTTTCAATTTCTCTCCTCTTCAGACTTTCTTTAATTCTTGGCCCATTAATACTTTCATGTCGAGCTTCTTCAATTCTTCCATCACATCTGTGTATGAAGATCGACATTGTAGGTGTGGTAATGAAGCACTATTAATGACTTCATGGACCCAATTAAATGCAGGGCGTAGAATTTTTATTTGTAGAATTTCAAAGGTAAAATTCTTGTTTTCGTTACTTTTTTAAAGTCAATTAGATGATTAATTGTGTTTGTCTAATTTTTTTTAATTTTTTTTTATAGAAAATGAGTGGTTGTGACTATTTTCTTTGATATGAAGATCGACACCCTCCACAAGCAAACAGGGTAATGTTGAGATTGTTGAAGAAAGTCAATGCTTTTGATGAAAAATTAAAGCGAGTAAGAAATATATTTATTGTTGGTGTCGTTGCTACCGGGTTGCTAATGTTTGGACTATGAAAATTGAAGGTTAATTGTTACTGTTCTAGAGGTGTTCGGTCTAGTAGTATTTTGATATTGTATTTGGTGTTCGATCTAGTAGTATTTTGATGTTGTTGTTGCTATAAATTTTTGATTAATTGTGCATTTTGGATTCCATGTTCTAGTAGTATTTTGATGTTGTTGTTGCTGTAAAAATTGATTTTTGACTATATACAAATCTCATATTCGTTCTCACAATCTAACACTAAAAACAAATAACCAAATTACACAATTGATCATATTCCTCACAATGTAACACCCAAATTACACAATACGTCTAATGAGCTCAAAGTTAGCATTATCCTACATACCATTCAAGGCTACAACCTTTATAAAATTGTATCAAAATAACGTTCAAAAATAAATCTAGCATAAACAAAAGCTACATAAAACCTTCACAAAAGTATTTACTAATACCAAAACAAAGCTAGCATACTCCAAAAACATATAACAACATAATAAGGGCCCAAAATCAACCTATTCTAAGTTGGTTTTACTTCTTTTTGTTTGCCATTTGCTGCAATTGGAAAGTGGTGACAATATCCTAATTTTTCCATCTCAAGCCTCTAGGCTTAAAACTAGTGTCTATACCCGTTAAATTTGCATCCTTATGTCTTGAACCTGTTGGTAGAATCCTTTGACTTGAAGTCACAAACTATTTTTTTGAAGAAAACAATCAAACTTAATATATAAAGTTTCATTCATTTAAGAGATAATTAGTGACAAACTTACGTTTAGTATTTAGGTTTCACTTGCACTTGTGTAGATACCAAATCCAACATTACTTGCTCCACCTTTAGTTTGCCTCTTTGGTCCCCCTCTTGCAGAATCTTCTTTAGTTGCAACTTTTCCTCTTTTTTGTCCAACAATTTATCTTGTCCTTAGAGGTAGTTGTCTGATTATTCCTCTTGTAACATGATACTTGCATCCGCAACTAGTGGTGGTTGGCTTATTTTTGTCGTTTCCCTTGTCTTTTTAACTCTACTGGTATCATCATAAACTGTTGTTGAAGAAACATGATTGCTTGATGTTGTGCAGGTTAGTTGAATCTTGTTGGTCCAGGTTGGTAGGAGCTTGTCAGTTCAGGATGGCTACTTCCTAGTGAACTTTGACCAGCAGTAAATTGTGAATTGTGGCTAGTTGGTTGTGAAGTATGGACACAACCTAAATATCAACATAAATTTTGTTCATAACAATTCAACAAGAATTAAAAAAAACACAAACAAATAATAAATTATTTTACATTGCAATATTTCTTGTTGTGGCCTGGTTGTTTACACTTGGAACAAATATTTTTCACCCCTTGTTTGGACATCTTTCCATACTTCTTTCTTGGTTCATCTTTACTTTTTCTTTCATTTCTTGGAGGTCTACCAAACATTTATTTAGTTTAAGGAGACTCAATCCTTAGATTGTTAGTTTCAGACCACATCTTCATATTTGGAATTGGTTGAATGAAATGACTATAAGCCTTTAAGAAGGTATCCTTCTTATATCAATACTCCACAAGTGGTTCATGTTCCTGTTCAATATGGTACAAAGCAGAAATAACATGTTGGCATGGAATGCCTCTCAAATGATAAGTTCTACACCTAAAAACTCTATTAGTCAAGTTGACTATATGCCTATACTGCCCTTCTCCAATCTCAAACCCAACATCAGCATTCCAAAGCACAATGCATGCCCTAGATTTTTTCTTTATTCTTCTCCAACATAAGTTTAACCATAGGTGCAATATCAAATATCCAGGTGTCAGCAAACTTAACCATATCCACAGTTCTAGTCATTATCTCCTAATTTCTTCCAACATGGTTATTATAGATTTGTGTCTACATCATAAGATCCATGGTTAAAGGTTTTTCATATGTTATTTTCAACTGCATTGTATTTGGAATGTTCTTAAATAAATGCTCTAACCAATGATACTCTTGTATAATGCAATAAATATTCATTAATGCTTTCATTGCCAAGTTTTCTCATTTTATAAAGCTCCTCATTGTACTTCACTTCAAAAGTTTCCTTGGAAGATCTCCAAAATTATTTTCTCCTTTCCTCTCCCTTCCATGTTTTACTCCAATTAGACCTGATGTGTCTATGCACATTCTAACTACAGTATTTGGTTGCAGTTCAACAACAACTCCTTGAAGAACCTATAATAAAATACAATTATACACAATTCAAGCAAGAAAATACAGTTTACATATCTACAATAATTAAAGTAATAGACAATTAGTTACCTGTTGCATATTAGACATTACAGTATGACCCTGTCCAGTACCCAACTGCAGGTCCTCTTTCAAGTAGTTGATAAAGAAACTCCAGCTATGTTAAGTCTCTTTGTCCACAACTACCCAGGCTATAAAAAACATCTGATTGTTTCCATTCCTTTCAATTGCTACAATAAGTTAACCCTTACAAGCACCCTTTAAGAAAAACCCATCAAATCCTATTATTCTTCTACATCTTTCCTTCCACCCCTTATTCAATGCATCCAAGCATACATAGAAGTACACAAACAAATTCTTTCCAGGTACAATTTCTCTATCCATTCTTACCCAAACAGAACTACAAGGATTGGTTTGTTTTACAACTTCAGCATAATCACATAACCTTGCAAATTTCATATTCCAGTCGCCCATGTTTTCTCTAAGAATCATCATCTTTGCCTGTAACAAATTGTTCTACCCATATGCAGTCCTACCTCTTCCCTGCACAATTCTTGTATTTCCCAAAATCCTCAAAGATAGTTGTTTAGTTATTTTATTCTTAAATCTACTTGCTAGGAATTTTGTTGTATACATTTTGTTCTTATTAGATGGTAAATACTTGTGTATAGGGTGGTAATTCTTAATCATAAAGTTACCGGAATCCTATCAATAACACCATAGCACAACCATTTGCATTTTTCTTGGAATGTATATTTAGCTCTCACTCTATGAGCTTCATTAAGCCTTAACTTAATCTGATATTATTTTTTGTAAATTATCTTCCACACATTAAGCCTTAACTTAATTTGATATTTTTTTTCAACAACATGTTTAGCCAAAACATTTCTAAATTCCTTCGCTTTTTTAAAATCACTCCAAGTTCAAAAATAGCAACACAACATTCATCATTATACCTGACCTTTTTGCTCTTTCTTATGCCTGGTAGATCAACACCTTCAACAGCTTCTGCATCTAGCATATCACTGCTATCATCACTATCACACTTTGAGCTATCAATATACTTCTCATCTCTTCCCAATCTGTCAACATATCTATCCTTCTTATTTATTCCAATATCT